GTATTTTTATTATTAGAATTATTTTTTTACAATGACGCAAGCATGAACTATTCGCTGATTTCTTTATTGTTTAAACGTTATCGTCGAAAGATTTGTGATATAAACGCCTGAAAATTATTGGTTTAATTTAAACCTACCTAAATTTTAGTTAAAAAACCTTGTACTTACCCCAAAACGGTTCAGAAGTTCCAAAACGAAGGTTGTTGACAGCCGTATAAGATTCAATATGGGGGCCGCCATACTTATTTGAAATCTACTGGTATGGTAGCGTAGTTGGAGCAAGTTTTAAAATGGAAAAAATCGCTACACAAGACCGCTTTTATCTTTTTAATTGCAAATGCAAAAATTCAGGACTTTTTATGGTAAGCACTTAAGATTAAGTTCTTTCGTGAGGTGTTGATAAAAATTCTTTTGCAATTAGTTCTAGGTGTATCTTTATATTGACTGGCCTATTATAACATACTAACCAAAAATCTTATAGGTCGGTCAAGAAATAAAGCCTCAAAGAAATGTTAAAATAATCATCTTGTGAAGTGCATATTTCATATTCAAGATCTATGAAAGCAAAGGTTGTGTTGACGCTAAATATCGAGCTTTGATGAAGAAATGCATGTCTTTACAGTAGAAACACATGAAATGTCGCCTAAAGATAGTCTGATATTTTGAACGCATTTGTCATTCTAACGATGATGAATCACCTTTGTAGATAGATCTGATTAGGGAAAAAAAGTCCTTATTTATGATCTTAACTCGTTAGGTGATTAATACGATCATGTTAAAATTTCATTGCTCGAGGGTTCTCATTAAGTAGAAGTGCACTGCAAGTACTGTGTGTAATGTTTAACTTTCTATAACTTTTGTAATTTCAAAAACAATAATTACATACTTTTTTGTTACCAAACTGCAGATCATACAAAGCTGCGATTATTTCAAAACTTTTCTTTAGTTTTTTTGTCTTGTTTTATCTATTGTTTCTTATCAACAAACACCAATACGTGTATTTTCCAAGGTTTATGTGTGTACATACAATGCAGATAAAAAAGACCAAAATAAGTTTGAGTTATAGCACAATAAAGCCTAAAGTAATTAATATGTCTTTCAACACAGTGTTGAATATTAATTCAAACATGAGGTCGTGTTTGATACTAACATAATTATAATGTAAAATTATTACCAACTTAATATCCGATTTCTGTATATAATTACAAACACTGATTATCATGATTGTTTTTATATATTTTCTGACTGCAGACTTGTCACGAATGTTCAGCTTATATTTAACCGATTATATAACCAGTTTTCCCTCCTCTATGACCACCTCTCTGTCGAAAAACTATTATTGGTTTTATTTTCATTAACTTCTTAGCCCCACTTATTATGATATTCAAGAAGCTTATTTATGAACGGTGGGGATTCAGAGAATTTTCACTAATTCACACCATATCATCAAATGAGGACATTTTTTTGACGGGTAATACCAGAATTCAAATTTTGCAAATAAAGTCCTAGATCTTAAATAAAAAAGGAAAACTTAACTGGGGAAATCGTATCCTCTTGACGTTATTCAATCGAAATATATAACAATATCAGAGTAATTTTCACATGAATTAACACAAAATTTAACTGAGTTATACATACCTCATTTCATTCTTAATAATTTACCATTCAAACACAAACTAGCATAAAATGTCTTAAACCAAGGTGCAATTTAGAGTTACCTTTCTAAAACTAATCAATAATATTTTCATCACACCAATTAGTTATTATCCTTTGGTTTAAAATGCTTGTAAGCAAGATGACTCTCTGCGCGTTTGTATATACATGTAATGTTTTCACACATCCCTTGACCAGATTTTAGGAAAAATCGAGATTTTAAAATATCTTATTCAATAAAATGTTGTTTTATTAATCAAAATAATTAGATTTATTTTCATGAAATCATCCGTCTGCTAAACCGTTTAGAACTGTCATTTTGGTGATCCTCGCTCTTTATCAGCTTGTATGTTTACATTTATACTGGTTCCCGTTTATGTACTATCAATTCAGCAAAAGATCGGTTTTAAAATACCGTGCAACTGTCTCAGTCGTTTTCACTACCACTTCAATTCATCAAATTAACACAGAGAATAGAAGTCTACAAGTTTATTAATTGTTATGCCACGTTGACGCGGTTGTCGTAGGAGGACGAGGGTAAACTGTGGACGAACTAATGAACTACAGCGTAGTATGCAGCTAAGAAGAGGACAAGGGAATAGCGGCAGACGTGGGAAATCAGCTCCGCAACATGGGGATAACATATGTGGAATTGACGCACCCGCGCAGAACTCAGAGCTAGTGCAGGCAAACCCGAACAGCGACACGAGGCAGACCGGGATGTAAGCGACAGGCGGATGAGTTGGACGATATGGTTGACGATAGGTTGCTTCAGAGGGAAGCCGCTTCCCCGATTCAGGGAATAAGCACCGGAAGCAGATCCCAAACCATGTTTGGTCCCAAATTTTCTATGGAAAGCCTTCAATCTAGAGTTGTTCAACTTCTACGATCAAGACTAGCACCAAATTCATGATCAACTTACAGAACGAGTGTTAAAATGTTCGAAAATTTCAGATTATCGTACAGTTTGTCAATGGCCGATACCTAACAAACATGTTATAATGTTTATCGTTTTGAAAATGGTCTTTCGCCCAATCAATTTCAACTTATGTCGCTGGTCTAAACTAATACCATAAATTGGGCGGTTTTGACGACATGAGCAAGATTTTTATAGTAAACAAAATATTAGAAGGCTGTCGTAGAAGTCGTAACACAAACGATAATCGGGCGTCATTAACTTTACGCATTTTTGTTTCAATTTGTGATTTCCTTCCGAGGGTCTGCTATAACCTTTGTGAGAACATGTTGTTTAAGTCACTTTTCACTTTGGCCTACTTTGGTTTGTTTCGGGTCAGTGAATTAGTTACGCCATCCAGTATGCAAATTGAAGGGGCTCTCAGTCTATCTGATGTATTATTTATACATTATACAGAATACCAATAAGTATTTATTTACATCGTTTCAAAACAAATCAAAAAGGAATTCCGATATTTCTTAAAATGGTCATTTATGCCCTGTTAGCACCTTAATTTAAGAGTTTTTGTCAATCAGGCCTCGTTCACAAGGACTGTCATGCTAATGGCGTAATTGTTGTAGAACACAAATTTATGCAGTGTTATCAAAGTGTATCAATCGTTCACAATTTTTACATGCACATTATACATCTCATAGCTATATAGAAGCAGAGCTGCAAATTTAGCTGCTTAAGGTTACCCACCATCGGTAATAATGAAACTAGGAAGGTGGAGGTTGGATACATTCAGACTTTACATTCGTCATGAAACACTGCTATACAAAGTAAAAACATTGGTATAAATGCATATAATATAACTTTTGAACTTTGTTTTTTTTATTTATTGTTGTTTAAATGTTAAGATGTTTGGGTTCACCTTATTGGGCTGGACAGCGGGCAAAGAACACCGGCAAGGCTTACCTTAAGCTGAAATATATATCAATAGCCTGGTGGGGTGCTCGAGGCGTACCCTGTAAGCACTTCAATCATTCTATTGAGACACGGGAGTTGTTTTCTTCACCTCCATCTATTATTATTACACATTGGAGGGAATGATTTGACAGATCTACCTATATTAGATTTAAAAAATCCGAAATGAGATTACTTATTTCGTGAAGTCTTTCCGCTGACATTTTTAATATGAATAGATATATTGCAAAAGCAGATATGGTCTTAAGCGTCGGGGGATTGGGTAGCCATTAGAAAAAAAGAAAACGATTAGTAATGTCATCAGGCAATGGCGATTTAATAAAGTCAGACATCAACGCAAAAACTGCGTGTTTTTTGTGGGGTTTTTTTTGCACAGACGGCATCCATCTTAATGACGTCAGTCTTGAATTTTATCTAGATTTTTTAAAGAGATTCTCTCATAAAAACATTTCACTTACACGATGAGCATTTTGGGAATATTCTTTTGATTCAAATTTATTGTGGCCGTTAAATTATATCGATCGGGAGGGGATCAGACATTGCATTTGATTTTGTTTGGCACTTAAACTTTGAAACCTGGTTTTTGATCGTACTTTTCGTGACGGAGTACCCGTCAGGGATTGATATATGATCGGAAAACTAATTTTTAGATTAGTATTATACAGTTCTTGAGTCCAAAAATGTTTGGACTAGAGTTTTGCGTTAATTATTTAATTTATTTGCGTTACCTTATTATTTGGCAATTCCTGTTTTAAGTTGCGGTGTTTCGTGTTACCGTACAATAGCTCGGGTTAAATTTTCTTTTAAACGCTTGGGTTCCAAGCGATGAAGGGAGACTCTAAGTCGATTTCTTTGCTATAATTATTTGGACCGATGAACACTGTGTTTTGCAATTGCGTTGCATTTGTATGATACTGTTTGTGAGTTTAGTTCACTGCGATAGTACTGGGATTAAAGCAAAATGTAAAGTTCTTATATACAACACGTCTGGTCTCCTTTCGGTCGAATTCATTTAGACATGGGTCACCCTGTCAAATATGAGCGGCCAAATCATTCCAAACTTTAAATGTATAACTCTGTTATCTGGACATTTGAAAGCATTGTTGAATAATTGATTCATTGATGCGATCTGTTATGTACATACAACAAAATAAACTTTTGTACTGTTTTAATTTTGTGTTTTTGTTATTTCAAATCTTAAAATAACTCTGTAATATGGCCAGATTAAATATTATGAATAAAATATTCGTTTAAAAATATTTTCTTTCCTAGCCGCTCTATTTCTGTAAATCATAGAAATTGCCATAAATTACTTCCCTTGTCCATTGAAAGTTTTGGCAAGAGTGTATCAAAACAATATAATCAGGGTCGATGACGTTCACGTGTTGATCGCATGTCATGTTTGCATGACTGTTCTTGCATAACTAACACCGTACCTTTTGTCTTTACCTAAAGTTAGGAAATATAAGATTATAAAACGAGACAGTTCAATAATGGAATACAAGTTATTTCTTAAGTAATCGATCAAAGTTTTAACGATAAACTACTTTAATCTAAACGTTGAAAACAGGAAATTACGTAAAACTAAAAAGTATTATCAAACTGTTATGTATGTTTGCGTGTTGTGATTCATCTTGTTATGATCGCTAAGATTTTACCAACGTTGGGCAAGTAAGAGTAGGTACTTATGATTTTGTATAATATTCAAATGAAATTTCAAATAAATTGATATAGCGTCTATGGATATATGCAGCAAGTTTCCTGATACAGCGGCTATTAAATGAGTTTAGGTTCAATACTAAAGTTATTCAACGAGGTTTATAAGTTTAGTAATGTAGCTACACGAATATAATATTCTATTTGTCACTACCAACGAAAAAAATATTCTTAAAATACCAAGAAATGTTGTCGTGGTTTTTTACTTTCTAATATCTTCAGTATAAAATAGCATCGCCGAAATAAGGTGAGAACTTAATGTGTAAAGCTATGCCCTTTAAACCTGCAGTATGAAACTATCAAATGTAGGTCATAAAAACAATATATTCATTCCAAAATTAGAATTATCAAAGTAATTATTTCAACCGTTGTTGTATTATGATTATACAATTTCAAACGCTCATAACCATGGTGGTACTCTTATATTATTAGAAGGTAGCATACGTACGATGATGCATGTGCCTTCTCCAAGCAAATAATGTCAGTTGCGAATATGAAGACTTTTTTGGGTGGGCTGAAAGAGTTCTTAAGGTATTTAGTATTATTAATAATAAATGTTTTTATGGATTTAGATCTCCTTGTAATGAATGAAGTAGAAGATAATAGTTCAGATAATGAAGAAATGGTGAATTATGACAATGGGAGTGAAGAATATGTTAAAAGGAAGGGTAAGTTGGTACTTTGAAAAATAAAGACCTAAAATGAAACAACATTCTTGAAAGGATTAAATAAAGATGGACAAAGTGTCGATAACCATTATGTGTGTTTTTTGTGCTTGCGTAGATTTCCTCTAAGGCATTGCATACATTGCTATAATCATTAAGTTCTCTGACTATTATCTACGTGTTTTATTCATTTCACCTTCTGAAGAATAAAAATTGTGATAATTTCACTTGTTTCAAATTATTTTATTTACACTTTCTAGTACCGGTAGAAAGGAATATGTAAAGGATAAGAGTTAAGCTTGGTCACGATGAACCGGGTTTATATCCCCAGTAATATTTTGCTTCTGACCGTTCCATAGCAGTACTCCATCTTGTCCCTTCTTATGTGTTGTTGCTTAATTTTTGTTGTTGTTGTTTTCTTTAACCGTTTACTACTAGTTTTCAACTTGACACTAAGTATTTAAGCGCCTTCAATTTTTGCTTCTTGACCTATTCCTCCCTTCTCTCCTTAATTTCTGAACTATTATTTGACGTAAGCTCTGCTCATATCCGTGTGGTGCCCTTCTGGATGTCATTGCTTTTAGAATTTTTAAAGGCTGTGTTTCTAGAACTAATCTCTCCTTTGTTAATCTTTATTATCATATCAGTAAAAACAAAGCTCTTCAAACTAGATGCAGAATTGTTTCACTTGATTGATTTGCATAATATGGAAAATTTCATGGTCTCCTGTAAGTGTATTAAGTTTTTTCTGCTTCCCTTTATAAGTACATATTATACTGCTGTTTGGAAATATAATACGAGCCGCAACCGTTTATACATAATAACGACCATAATAACTGTCAGGAATAATTATAACGACGTTACCAACATTCAGTTTTATATGAGCAAATATAAAAAAATCTGTGTAAAAAAATAGAGAAAATAAGAATCCCTAAAGAAAACCCAACACGGTAATAATGAAAATGTTGCAGGCTCGGTTTGATTGAGCCTGTTCATGGACGGTACTGTCAAGTGCAAACTACCGTCCACGCCCCCCCCCCTTGCACCGGCTTAAGCAGAATTCAACATTTAACATGAACAGGTACAAGTTTGAATTTTAATACATCCGCAGATGTGTTCATATGGCGGTTATCATGGAACCTTCAATGTGACACGTAAGTGCCATTCCATGAAAAGCTGCATATGGTCCCCAAGTAAAAAAATGCGTTTGTCCTAAACGAGAAAACAATGGGCGAAACTAAATAAAATGGAATTTAAAAGGGGATCAGAGGTTATGAAAACTATTCTCAATAATATCACTGTAAGCTATGTTTTTTTCTAATAAACAGATTTGCCTGTTCTAGTTTTTCCCTCCATATCATTTTGTTATCCTATCAATAATCAAAGAAATCATGATGATTTTGTAGAGCAAAATTTGATGACACCTTCCATCCTCTTTTACAGGGAAGATCCAGGGCTTTTTCAAACGCATGAAACAAATCATCAAAAAGAGACCCCCCAAAAAACAGGTTTGTTTTTCTATAAAGTTAAGCTAATTATTTTAGTTCATGTCTCGGTGGTTTTTTTTGTTTTTTGTTGTTGTTTTTTTTTTGTTGTTGTTGTTGTTGTTTTTTTTGTTGTTGTTTATTCATTTTAATTTTTGTTTCCATAATTTAACTTTTTACAAATTTTACTTAGTCTCTAACAAACCTTTTTATCATATTCGAGCCGCCTCCGTGGTCGAGGGGTTAGAGTCGATGACTTCTAACCCAGTTACCTCTCTGGCGTGGGTTCGATCCCCGGGAGATGCTTTGGTAGTTTAGCGCGGAGGAAGGTAGTCTAGTACTGGTGTAACTCTCCAGGAACGATGGTTAGGAAACTACCCGCCTATATGACTGAAATACTGTTGGAAAAAGGCGCAAAATGAAACAAACAAACAAACAAACAAGACAATTTATCCACGATTCAAAACCAACCGACAATTAGAGATAAGCGTTTAATATTAATTTGATTAAGACAAAATTGCTGTCGTTCGAAAATTTACTGTGAGCAGTGTTTTACCATTTTTGTATTTACTACATATATAACAAGTTTGGTTTTCATAGATAGAAGATCTTGTCTACGAGGTTGTACCGAATGCATTTGAAGAGGGTCTATGTGATAGTATTAGTGATGAAGATGTTGAGGGTGTTCAGGAAGACTATGAATATTGTACGTCTTTTCAAGAGGAAGTTTGTACTGATGGTATGTATTTTTTCTAAACTAAGATGTAAATTAAAAGCCTTGACCATTACTGTCACTTAAACTTAACCTTACAGTAAAACAAAGCGTATACAAAGAAATGATATCGTTCAAATAAAGACTGACTTCATTACAAAATACAAATTTTCTCATTTCTTTATTGCATTTAATTTCTACTAATATATATCATGAAATCCCTGACATTTTATTGCATTATTACATTAATTCACTTTAAAAAAATAATTGCTACCTGTGATATTTTTGATGGAGTAAATTTCTGATAACTATCAAATGTAATTATTCTCGTGTCCATAACATTAACAACCAATTGTTCCACTCAATAAATTTTGCAAACAAAAAGCTTTTTTTGAAAGGTAATTAATTGCATTTTTCGAAGAAACAGATGCTGGTAATTTCTCACCACCCAGTGCTTCCGTTATTTCGTGCTGTGTGTTATTTTCTTTGATCTTTTTGTGGCATGATACAACTAAAATTTTCTACTTCTTTTAACTATGTATATGGACGAGTTGTAGAACAGTCTATAGTGAGTGTATGTCGTCATCCTGTCCATAAAAACCACTAGATTTTCTCATTATTTATAAAAGAACAAAGCTAGGTAAATAAAATTAGTATTTGGCATGTTGATAGAGTATCATATGTAGATTATGAACGAAAAACGGAAAAAATAGCGGCCCTGCCATTACTCATTAAGTACAAAAAGCTAGGTTGATGGTTATCTTTTTTGTAGAGCACTTCCTGCAATTTTGTAAGTTATTTAAATTTCTTCATCAGAGAAAAAAATGTGGTTGCAATGGTTATAGAAACGGCAATTTTGATCATATGTATACCCTTGTGATAGTTCAAAAAGTAAAAAAAAAACAAATGAATGGAATCTTCTGGTATTTACCACGAAGCCTGGCCATATAGAAATGCCTTGTTTATAAGTAATAACTTGTTCAATGTACGTTATGAAATTATTTCTATATCATGGAAAACTATAATTTATAATTCATGTGCTTTGTTTACTTACATATCTGCATATCATTTTTGGGAAATAAAGGTATTTTTACGACAAGTATATTTTCTTCAGCCGTTTCTGGAGCGAAGACAGTAACAGCAATATTTGATTTTCAAAAGTTTTCTGACGATGAGATAAGCTTTAAAAGGCTAGAGAAACTCAAGATATGTGATGATATCACAAGGTAAAGAAAGAAATAATATAAGTTTATCATACAGTGATGAGTACAATACTGAACTTTATTGTACGAGAACACAGTTGTCAAACCTATTTTAGACAAGGCGCTAGCCAAATCTTATTTAGGTGTTTCAGTTGTGTGTCGATTCATCAACTATTATGTTTTTAACGTTTGGAACATTTCAGTTCATCAAATTTTCTCAAATTTGGTGTTAACGGAATACTGAAAAACATTATTTAGCTTTGTCACTTGTGTCAATATTTTCGTAATGACACTGCAATTTAAGGAAACCTGCCATTTTCGTACTAGTATGTATTATTCTTTAGTATGTATTATTTTTTATTTCAGTGATAACTCTGATTGGTGTTATGCTGAACTTTTATCTACGGGAGAAAAAGGTTACGTTCCTATTGCCTATATCTCTCATGCCAGCCAAAAACTGATATCACAAGAGTATGATAATCTTTTTATTTTTGTATTTAATTGACTGCACCTGTTCACTATTTTCAAAAAAGCTGTTGAACTTAAATCTACATCGTTGTTTCTTTTTTTCTGGTTTAGCCCAATGATCATTTTAGATATTATATATATATATAACTGATTGAAGATTTGCATTTTTTTTCAGCTGGTGGTGTGATATAAGCTCATACGCTTCCGAGGAATTGATGAGCAATCCGGATACTCCTGTGGGAACATTCCTTATACGTCCATCTGACAGTACGTAAATTCAAATATTACATCATGTTATACTGGTTTATGTTGCTAAAATGTGAGGTTTATCATTTATTTCCATCATTCAAATAGTTAAATGCTTTTAACGTTTAATTTGATTCAGGGTTGCTACTATTAGTAATATTTTGAGGCTGTTACTGTCTACTCACATTCAGAAATTATCTAAAATGTATATACCCAAGTGTGTTAGCAAAGTGATAGTCCTGAGTTTACAGCGGTGATAGTAATAGGTATTAACTCCTGGACAAATTATGTGGATTTATATTTGAAGTACATCAGGTGTGTCCAAATTAAATAAGGGTCCTGATGGTGATTGTAGCCGACATGGTCTGTCAAATGTTTACAACACTGAGCCAATTTTATATTATTATCTACTTAATGTAACATGGCAATTGCAATCCAGAGAGTAAAAAAGATAACTTTTAAGAAGTTTAAAGCTATAAGGTCCAGCAAGAATATGGCGTTTACTGTTAAGACAACAAACAAAATTTAAAAAATAGATCACTTCGTGTGAGTGGTGTGGCTTCAAAGTCCCCCACCCTCATTTGCCATATTTTTTAGACCTAACCGCCATAGAGTTCAATCACTTTACCACGCTGAAAAATACTTTTCTAAGAGTAATACGTCTATGTTAGTTTAATGAGGATACCCAAATCATTTGTCAATTCAAGACAATTAGAAAACATGATGTTAAGAAATTTCTAGAGAAAGAGAGGACATATACAATAAAGAGAGCAACGGTCAACAAGGCAAGGCGTTGTTCACAGAAAGAATACAACCAAGACACAACCAAGACACAAACAGAGTAATCAGAAAGTATCAAATCAAAAACGGGAGTTGGCAAAAGAGAGGGTAAAGGTGGTGAGGAACATATCAATTCTATAAGAGATATGATAAAACTTAAAAGCGTGATACAAGAATATAAGGAACGAGGGTGGGTAGAATTTAGGCGGGTAAGGTGGAAAGGAAATACCGATTAAGACAATTAACAAGATACAATGTCACAGAACGTGTCAATATACTAAACTTGTAAAATCAGTTTAGTTTCACTGATACTGCTCATAAGCTATATATGTATATACACAATGACTTAATACATCGTTTGCGTTAATTTTAAGGAGGACGGATGTTTGTCTTAACAATGCTGGCACCAAGTATTTGTTCAAATCAAGGAGTTGTTAAACACTATCGTATCCAGTCTCAAAATGATCGACTGTTCATCAGCCCTAAACAAAAATTCAGCAACATCTTTTCGCTTGTTGAACACTATAAACGTAAGTGGTTACGACATAAATGTGATGTTTAGATTTAGATATAAATGGGTTTGCTTTAATGTAATCTATGTAGTTCTAACTAATAACGTAAATTAAATATAATTGCTGTACATGTTATCAACATTTTTTCCATGGATACATGTTAACGAGAATTTGTATGTACTTGTTGTTAGTAAATACAGACAGTTACTTTTGTAGCAAAACTATATAATAATAAGTTGTTACTACATAAATATCATGCTTACGTTTTGATATAAATGGATTTGCTTTTCGCTTTTGCAGTCGTAACTTATAACGTAAAATGCAAGAGAATTTGTATGTACTGATTGTAAATACAGTCACTATTGTGGCAAAAGAAGAAAACGTGAATATACTTTTCCGGTACTATATGGTTATTTAACCTTTCTGATAACAATTCCCATTTTATAACATTTTGTACTGAAATACTGATCTTTATTTTGTAACAGACTTTGCTGATGGTTTGTTGTGCAAACTTATTTATACAATTCCAAAGCAAAATCCTGTTGTTTATCCAAGAAGAATAGAAATTGATCGAAATGCAATTGAACTTGGGAAGTCAATCACTGTCGGCAGCTTTGGAGAGCTTGTCAGTGGTATAATTACCTTTTTTTAATTTTAAGTGAAATGTGAATAAAATAAATATAAAAAAGACTGATAAGATAATTGTAAAACAAAATAAGAATATTATATACATTTGTATTCAGCTATAGATTTCTATTGCCTATTGCCTATTTCATTGCATTAGTTATTACCGGTTTTACCTCATTACAGGCAAATTGTTCAATACATTGGATGTTACCATCGTGACAAAATGCAAAAGTGAACTGGGTCATTTTTGGATGAAGCCAACATGCTGTTTAAGTTTCGACAATGTGAGCACTTTGTTAAAATGATAGCTGTCGTCCTTGAACCTGAACAATTCATGATTGTACTAGGAGAAACGGTCAAAGACACGCTACAAAGTAACCTGAGAAAAAATACTGGAAAATTATTATCTCTTAGAAAATTGACCAGGATGGCTTCAGAGGTATTCATATATTTGAAAGGAACAAAACAGTTATGTTACGAACGATAACAAGGATAAAGCTAAATCTATAATGGTCGTACGTCGACGAAATAAAAAATAATTTTCAATTCTTTCATTCAAAAGAGTATAATTGAAATAGTTTTGGATGTTATACATATAAGACTTCTAGATAAAGGCAAAATAACGACCAATCGAAGCATTTTTATTTTTTATTGCTTGTCAGAGTTATCAGGTTTATACACGTTGCATAAACCATTTAAGAAAACATGATAAATTTCAATTGAAACAGTTAATCATTCAAACGATTAAGACATAAAATAGTATTTCCCAAAGTAACTTTTGATATTCCATAGCGTTTCGTGGTTCGGTTCAAGTGTTTTAGTGTTGAAACATGAATACCGTTTAAGGCAGAGTATGGGGTATGTAACATATTACACTTGATCTCTGATTACCTAGCCTAAATCGAACCTAGTCAATGATCTACATCTTCAGTGTTTTTTGCTTGTTAATTACCCTTTTTATCACATCTTTTAACCATTCTGTGAAATGTTTCCAAAGATAGCAAAATAACTAATCCCTTTAATCACGGACGTTTTTGTTATGTCGTATAAGTAATGATTTCTTTTAATGAATGATCATTTTGCATACTAAATAGATTGCTTATGGCATGGCATATCTGGAAGAAAATGGTATTGTCCATGGAAGATTGAAAGCGGAAAACGTTTTAATTTGTGAGCATGATAAATTAAAGGTATTGCACCCAAAACTGATAAAACTTATGAAAAGCAGGGAAAACGACACACGTGGACAAGGTAGGAATTTTAAAGTCATATTGGTGGCGTGATATTAACAAAAGGTATTCATTCAATATTGTCATTGAAGTTCTGCAGAACGCATTATGAGACACGGGTACTAATTATTTAGTTTAACAAGTCTATATGTAAATGACTTATCCCAGTATTAAGCTCTCGTTTGTCAATACAGAACCCTACTTTGTTTCAATTAAAATGTTTCAGTTTTGATATTCCAAGATAGCGTTTAGCTTGAATATTTCAATAAATCCTATGAAATGAAATACTTATAATACTCTCTGTATGTTTGTAAGAAGACTGTAGCAAACTCCTTTGAATTGCAACAACAGGAATGTGATTTCTACAACGTACTTTGTTAGAAGCGTTTCGGTGACGCTATGTTTCACGTTCTATTAATTTATATAAATAATTTTCTAGTACCGAAATAAAAATCTAAAAGAATGTTTTAAGTAGATAAAAATAGAGAGACATATTAGCCCACCATTTCTGATGCAGCCAAGTGTCGTGATTTTCAAGTTTGAATTAAAAGTTGTGACATAATATAACGAACCTAATGTGTTAATCTATCGAATTTCTTACTTCTTTGTTATAAACAAATTTTTTATAGATGAACAATACTTCTTACGGAACATAACGACTTTTGTTACATTCAGATGAAGTTGAATGGCAATGGACGGCACCAGAAGTAATATCAGACGAAAATGCGTTAAATACAAAATCAGACGTTTGGTCGTTTGGAGTTTTGATGTATGAAATGATCACGTTTGGGAAAATTCCGTATTCAGGTACCTTAAGAGCTTTAAATAATTACAAAGTCGGAAGAACTGTCTGGCAAAAAGCCTTTCAACTATTCTCAGTACTTTATAGTAAATTAAACACAATGATGGTATTTTCCAATTTCGCAGTGAAGCAAAAGTCTGTACTTGGGCAATAATTTATAATTTCTTTACCTACAATAAATCCGAAAATCAGTTTGGGTTAATTCTTTCAGCGGTTTTGAAGGTATGTTTTCAGCAGTTGCATATCAACGTGTACGTTAGTCGATTGGTACAAGGCAATGACTTTCAAAAATGACCCCAACGATTTATACTTATTTGAATGCTTCATATTTTATATCATAAAAATTTAGGACAAAAAACTTTCATGAAAATTCTTAAATATAGAAATAGATAATTCCTTAAGAACGAACAAAACAAAAATTTGGAAATTGTTGGAGGCTCGATAAGATTAAGCCTGTTCATGGACGATAATGAAACGTGCTAGTTAACGTCCACGCCTGCTTGCACCGGCTTAAGCAGAATTCAACATTTAACATAAAATGGTTTGGAATTTTATAACATCCATAGATGTGTTTATACGGGGTCATCATAGACCTTTCAATGTGACACGTAAGTGCGTACTTCGTGTGTACTGTAAAAAAGAAGGACTCGGCCTGTCTGTCTCGTATATTTATTTTTGTTCCTCCATTATTATTTTTATATCAAAATTGCTCTGTTAATCGTAACTATATCACAATATAATAGAAAAAATTCTGGATGTAGAGTGATCCCTCGGAAGAATAAACCACAGCAAACTTGCATAAAAATTGTAGACTCGGTTTGATTGAGTCTGTACTTATGGGATAATGAAAAATTGCAACATACCTCCACCCCATCCCATAAAAGTTTTACTAGAAAAAGCTATTTCTGACACTCCTGCAGGTTTTGAAAAGGAACAGGTTGAACGTGGTTTATCCAATGGACTAAGACTAGCAAAACCAAAAAGCACTACAATGCAATGTCCTGTCGAATTTTTAAACACCAAAATTTCCCAATGTTGCACAAAAATTTCCGGAAGGGTGCAAAATTGAATTTTTTGGGGATTTTAAAATGATTTTGAAAAGCTGTTAAAATCTGAATCTCTTTTAAAAAGGGAACCCGCTTTTTTTTAAATTTTTTTCCAAATTTTACCCCCAAATAGTAGTTTTTTCTGTCAATTTCTGTAATAAACTGCATAAATGAATGAGTTGAATATTGAACAAATGTAAAGTGGGTTTTTTCCTTCCTACTTTACCATATACACGCATTTTCTGTTAAGTAATGTTTTGCATTTGTGTTTTTTTGACGCGATTGTTTTCAGAATGTGAACATAATGTTGACTAACCATTGCTCTTGGAAGATGCCATCTATAACTTTGTACATTGTTATATTTTTTTTTCTAAATATTAATATTCTTCCTGTTCTCGAATATGTGATAAGGGGTTACAATTTACATGTAAGATTAGATTACTTTACATCATTGCGAAACAATATATATCATGAAATCGTTTAATCTGTTGGTAAAAGCAAAATGCAAAGTCGCAGTTACCCGCCATTTTCTATAAAAACATTGTGAAACCATTTGAAGAATTTGTAATTTGCCTGTCATTTATCGAAATGTTCTTTGCAAAACTGTTTTATAAATCTCCTCTGTTTAATATGAATGACATTCATCTATAAACCTTTTCAACGAAGAGAATGATCTTTTCTGCCACTCCTTCTCTAAACTTTTTAAACAAAGTTTAAGTTCATGAACTTAATTAATTGAACTCTTTTTATGACAGTCTATTATAGAATGCATTTATTATTCTAATTTTAATTGTATCGGATGACGGGTTGAAATGTAAGTACATAAGTGGGATACTAGAGAATAAGCAAGAAGAGCTGGCAGAAATACCAGAAGATTCAGAGGAACAAATATTTGTTTACATAAAAGACGATAAAAAGACAGGTAAGATGTTACAAAATGCTTTGAAAATAATTAAAAGCGATTGCTTCTTACTTTGATTGTTTTGGTCGCATTTAAGTATGCAATTGTATTGTGTTTTCGATGCTTGTTTATGGTGTATATATAAAATGTTTATATGTTTGCTTGGTTTTTCGGGGTGTCATTATTAAGCCGAGTTAAACACATAATTATAGTCATATCATAGCGGCTAATCCGCCTTACCGATTTTTCTGGAAAACTAACCAACCTCTCCGCAATAAGAAGCTTGCACAAAGATTTTTGTGTCAACGATATTTGGCAATATAAAGATAATGTTGTAACTAACTACAGAGAATTTCACGCTGGCATAAACATTCAAGTTGTACAAAAGAAAATTTGAATTTATCCACATCATTTTCATTTGCCACTTTTCTGGTCATATCTAAGGCTGTATAGACAGTTTATTTTCTTGAGTTTTTATAATTATTTGTTTGTGATATACAAACATAAACATATGCAGCGTATAGAAGACGATGACGAGAAATCATTTGACATGCGTGAAAAATAATTATCTACCCATAACAGTTATAGATTGTGGGACAGGAACATCCACAAAAGCAGATATATTATCAAAGTGTGATGAAATTTTAACAGTAAGTAGTTTGTATTCATTTCACTAGAAACCTGCAAGTGAATCGCTCACGTTGTTCATTTCTTTCTTCAGATTTATATGAAGATCTTACTTCAGATTTATATGAAGATCAAAGTACAAGCAATAAAAGTGTTGTTATAACTCCAGGATATGATGTAACTTCCTTGAACAATTAAACAGCAGGTACGTATTTCAACGAGTTTGTTAGTCTCATTTCCTAAAAGACGTTTGACAATTGTATGAAAGAATACATCGATAGAGATATTTTGTTTATTGAATATTTTTCATCCACAACTCTGAACGTTGCTAAATAACCGGTTAGATATAGATCATATATTTAAATCAGGATAAAAGCCAGATCGATGTTTATTATTTTGAAAGTGACACAGTTTAAAGTGAATAACAAATAATAGTTAAAGGGAAGTACAAGATGTAGTTAACAATGAAACCAACTTTGTCTTACACTTTGTTAGTGTTATGAAATTGTCCCAAATGAAACTTATATTTATGTAAAATCTATATTAGGTTACTTAATATAAAGTGTTGAAATATTTACAGAAAACGATGAGGAAAAATCTTTTGATCCGGGCGATATTATAAGATATTATAACAAACACAGAACCAAAAGATAATGGTTGGGGTGTAGGGACAATAGCAAATGGAACACGTTGGATGTTTCCTGCAATTATGCGGAAGTCTATGAAAGCATATACTCTGTAGTAACAAAATTATAAAAAAAAGTGGCAAAATACCAAATGACATGGCAAATGAGCTGATAATAATACTTAAATTGCTCGCAGATGCCGTATGCACAATTAAATCAAGACATA